GGTGTCTGTCCATCCAGGCAGACAGTGGATTAGCAGACAGAGACTGGGCTGGTAGCAAAGGCCTTTGTCAAAAATCCCAGCCCCCAACAACTAGCTGCTGGCCACGTGGCTTTGGCCAAGCCATGCTGCCCTTCCCCTCACTCGAGCTTCTCCACATATCAGCTGGGGCTGGTCAGTATTCACCTCATAGGGCAGTTACACAGTGCCATGAGCATCAGTGTGGCAGACAGGGTGAGCATTCAATGTCAGCACTGCTCCCCTGGGTAACTGCCCTGAGAACAGGCGGCAAGAACCCAGTGGAACTACAGCCTTTCCTCACTAGGGGTCTCCAGACTCACGCATTCTGCCTTCTGCCACCCCACACCGCAGCCACAGCACTCCAAAGGGGCTCCCCATTGCACAATTCACTGGATGGCTCTTAGATCTGCATCCTCCCCATCCTCTCCTACACTGAACAGTGGAGAACGTGAAATTCATTTCTACTGGATGCTGACTTTTCCCTGTCCAGTTTCTGTTCCCTTTCTCTGGTCACTCCCTCCCACTTCTGATAGTGCAATTTCTTTTCCTTGGTCTTTAAAAGTCAGGATTGAGGCTGTGATTCCTTCTTGGCCTCCAGGCTCTCTTTAACCCATTTACTAACCAATGTCACACAAATTCGTCTAGAAAGCTGGCCTGCAGTTCACACCTCTGCTCTGAGTTCTCTCTTCTCCAGGTTTACCCCTGTATCTCAAAGACATGTCAAGCCTCTGCCAGCTAGGACCAAACCGATGACTGGATCCTTTCTGTCTCCCTCCCAAACCAGGATCTCCTCTAATGGTCGGAGAGCATCACCAGGCTCCTTTCCCTTAGTAAGCTCCCACACCCTCCTCCTTTGCCTCTTCTCCCTTAATCTAGTTCCACAGCTGCCAGAGGAATGCACTTACACTGCCAAAATGACTACATCATTCTCCACTGTCTACAGGATCCTGAACATTGCTAAGAAGGGCTCAGCTGAATGCTGAATGCATTCCCCTTACTTCCCTTGCCTAGCTTTAGCTTTCTACTCTTCAGCCACCCTGGTACTTCTTGTCCTACCAGGGTCATGAGCAAACCAAGCTTTTCCACCTCACCTTTCCCTGGAACCTTTCTACATGGCTGCTTCGGGCAGACTGTCTACGTATCCTGTACCTACCACTTCAAATGTCCTTCTTCAAAGCAGCCATTCCTGATCCCACAGTAGGTCACCTGCCCTACAGCAAGCTCTCATAACCTGAGAATTTGTCAGAGCTTTTTTGTTTCAAAGCCTCTTAAAACTTTTATTGAAAATTAAAGAGCTAGTAATAGAGTTGGATATAGGGAGGAAGAAAGGGAGGGAGATATCTTTAACCCACTGAGTCATTCCCCAAATGCCCAGGATAAAAACGGCGCTTGAAATTCAACCTGGCAATCAGGGTTTCCCATGTCTGTGGCAGCAAAACAACTACTGGAGCAACTGTCTTCTGTCGCCAAGGAAGCTGGGTCACAGTAGAGCAACCAGAAATGGAACAAGCTCCCATATACAGCATTCAGGGGTCCGAGTGGTGACTCAGACACTGCAGCAAATGCCTGCCCCTTCATGCTTGTTTTACATGACCTTTAAGAAGCTAAGGGCTTTATCCAGTCATCAGCTGATGGGTACCAGGGTTGATTCCCTATCTTAGCTATTGTGAATTGTGCTGCTATAAATACAGGGATGCCAATAACTCTTTAGTAGGGAGGTTTCATTTCATTTGGATATATTCCCAGACATGGAATGCTAAATCATATGACAGATCTATTTGCAGATATCTGAGGAATTTCCATACTGTCTTCCATAATGGTTGCACTAGTTTACATTCTGACCAACAGATTAGGGTATACACATTTATACACACTATGGAATGTTATTCGGCCATAAAAAGAATGAAATTTTGTGAAACAATATAGACCCAGTTAGAAACTATTATGCTTCATGAGATAAGCCAATCCCCCAAAGACAAATATATATGATCTGTAACAACAAACCGACACAAATTGTAAAAAAATGTAATCTTCACAAACCAGACTAAAATCCTAGGATTTGACTACTGTTTACAACTTTTGTCTGTACTCCTGAGGAATAATAGAATTTTCATTTCCCTCTACCTGGCAAGTTTTGATGTCTTTACCTATTGGAGTACTAAGTTTGTGATTGAAGAGAAATGAAATATACCACTGCAAAAATTAGAGGAAAAAGGGGGCATAGAGAGAAGAGGAGTGGGAGGGGTCCCTAAGCTTCTAAATCTATCTTGTAAAATTTATTCACCATCTATACATAAAATCAACAATAATAAAAAGCTAGTGTCTGTTTCTTCAAGCAGATTGTCAGCTCCATGAGGGCAAGAAGGGACATGTGTACTTAGACCCACCATTTTTCCTTCCAATATCTCTAATGTCAAAATGGCATGAGCACCCCATTTCCACCATTTTCAGGCATTTTTCATAACCTTCCTCTGCTCCTCAACTACAAGAGAAAACCACCAGTTACATCTGGTGACCTTGGCCACAACAAGTTGACCACAGAAGCAGAGAAATTGATCGGGAACATGGGCTTTGCAAAGACTATCCATGGAAACCCCACATCAGAAAGATCATCACGTTCCTAAATGACAGCAAATAGGATTTGTTTGTGAAACATCACAATGTCATTCACCAGTTACTATAGGAGATTCTTGCACTTATTTATCTATTCATTCAACAAAACTGTGAATTCTAAATTTCAGACTCTGGGGCCAGAGGGTGACATGTGACAGAAAATACACAACCAATGTGACAGAGAAGGACTGCCTTCTGGAGGAGAAGAGATAAGAGAATAAGAAGCAACGAATAGTGGGGGGTTGTTGATACCCAGAAGGACATTCCAGGTAACCTGGGTATAGTGACAGTATCCTCTAGAAGCTCCCCACACATCAGTAACTACTAGCACATGGGGGACCGAGGGCACTAGGCACCAGCTTCTTCCGTTGATGTTCCTTCCAAGCCCAGGGTCAACCTCCTGGATGCTGGAAAGGGTGGAATCTGGGCAGCTCAGCTGTCTAACAAACGCCACAGCTCCACTGCCCTCTGACACACACGTGGGTTCTTCAACCTTGCACATACATATCCAACCAGGGCCACCTCTCTTTCCTCCCCTATTTCACACCTCATTCAAGGCAGGCGGAGGTGGGGGTAACACAAGTGTGGGAGATTATTACAGAAGTCAGCATTGTGAGGAGGTGAAGAGGAGAGAAAGGCATAAGGCAGTTATCAAGACTCTTTCAATAAAAAGAAATTGATGGCAACATTCCGATTTATTGTAATTGAATTTTACTTTACCTAAACTGCATTCTTTGGAGTGGATTGCTCAAGTGTTTATTCAAACTTCAACTCCTACTTGGAGAGTGGAAAGGAAAGCTCAAGTGACACACATTTAACTATTTCATGCTCTCAGTAAGGCCAAGAGGGAGACTTTTTCCCACTTGGGAAAAACAGGGAGTTGGTGTATTCTGGTATAATTAGCTTCCAGACATGGACACCATACTACCACCTGTCAAAGTATGATAGCTTAAAACTAGAATATTTGGGGAGGCCAGAGTTATGACACAGCAAGAAAAGCTGCCTGCTACCACAACAGTAACCCCTACAGACACTGGCTCATGTCCTGGCTGCTCCACTTCCAATCCAGCTTCCTTCTAATGGCCTGGGAAAAGGAGCAAAGATTGCCCCACCACCTCGATGGGAGACCTTGGAAGAAGCTTCCGTCCCTAAGCTTTGACCTGGCGCAGCCCTGGGGACTGAAGCCATCTGGGGAGTAAACTAGCAGATGGGAGGTCTCCCATTCTCTCTTCAACTCTTTCCAATAAATAAATAAATCTAAAGCCAAAGAATATCTGTAATCTAAACATGACACTCTGTTGGAAGCAAAACAAAACATGAAGTTATCAGCATTTTACATCATTTTAACCCAAAACAGAGGCCTAGAATAGACAAAGAATGCAATATGGATTGTATTTAATACATACTTAAGTGTCAGAAGTCAAACGACCTGCGCTGACATTTGTTTTCTATTAAAAAAAAAAAAAGAAAACCTCTGCCAAAAAGCAAACTTGGTTTATATTCAACAAAATGAAATTTCAATGAATTATTCTATTCAATTTGAGAATTAATCTATTTATGGACCAATGTTTTCCAGAAAGAAAAAAAATCCTGCTTTTGAAAAACAGCTTGTCAACGTAAAATTATACAGTATTACTGTAACGCATCAGCAATTCGAGAAAAAAGTATGTAGGATGTCCAAAAGTTAGAAAGATGTTAAAGTTGTGTGTGTGCTTTACTTTTAGAAGAGACTGCCCTACCATGTGGTGTAATTTTGGTGTTTTGCCCAGCATAGTATCAGTTTCCTGAGAACTTAAATCATTAGGTTATTCCCCTGAAGAAAGAAGAAACTCTATCCTCTGATGATGACCTCTTCACTGGAAGGTCCAACACTCAGAACACAGGAATGTGCTGGAACAGCCCACCTAAGTCAGCATGGTGGGCCCCTGGACAGGAGCCTCACCAGAGAACAGTGATAATCCAGGCACACAGGGAGCAACAGCTCCAACAACCGACCAGGAAGGCATGCCCTCTGCCAGGGGCCTGTGATCCCAGCCACGTTCAGGAGAAAAGTCGCAAGCCGGTCTCGTCCTGATGTGCAAAGCACAGACTACTAAGGCGGCGAGTAACTGCATCTGCCAGCCAGACTACGTCTGCCAGCTAATTGTTCCACACGCATTCACCCCAGCCTGTGCAGAGGCACTGGGGTGGGAGGAAACTCAATTCTAAAAGAAGTATCTTGCCACACAGCATCATGATTTCCCTTAAAGAAAATACATGCCGAACAGCCAGCCAATCATGGCTCCCCTGTGACCATGCAGCTGCATGCTTCCTTTCTACGTGCAAATCCAGGCCCAACCATGCCAAGATGCTTAAAAGAATGTCCTTACCCGAATGATTTCTTCAACACAGCTGTTGCTTTCTGCAGCTCTGTTCTCCTGAAAGCAAAGAAAATGCAAAAGTTCAGCCCAATGGGAGAAATTCAGGGTCATAAAGAGAAGTTAACATGTTACATCTGATTTGGGGAGACTATCTGTCCAGAGTTGGACTAAGGGGTGCCTTCCCTGCGGCTTGCTCCTTTCCCTGCTGGCTCCTACTAGTCTTGCTGCCTGTTCCCACCTGCAGTCTGCAGCATCACACCTACTGGCTCCAGACGGTCAGGGCTCAGGCCCCATGGAGAGTGAGCAGAGCAGGTCCTAGATCTAGAACCTGATGCAGAAATGAACTGTGGCCATCTGCAACTCTTACAGACTGTGCCATCCATGGCTCTGCTGTAACCCAAGCTGCCCCGTGCTGTGTGTGTGTATGTGGGGGGTGGAGTCCAGGGTTTCCTGAAGCTTTGGGCCATAGCTGAAATTGGGGAGGACAGTTAGCCTTCCAGAGGCGGTTGTCTGGTGACTGCCTCATAACCCTTAGCCCAGGATATGCTTTTGCAGGGATAGGAAAGGGTGTGCTGGTGAAAGGGCTCATCTGCAGCATGCTCTTTCCTGCCAGCCCTGTATTTCCTGCATGATGTTGGACAATGATCCCTTCTCACACCCCATGTTCTCTCTCTCTCTCTCTCTCTCTCTCCACAAGGACTGTCATGTGCCCCTTTGCTGATTTTCTTTTCAATTCCAAGTCATCCCTCCCATCACACACACCTACGGCTTCCTCAAGGCAGCCATTCCCGCTCCTGGCAATTACCCTACACACCACATTTACTTCTCTGTGATCCTCCCCACGGCTGTGATTTATCAATCAGCAATCCAACAGTAGCTCCCCCTTCTAGAACATCCTCTCTATGAATCCAGGGGTTCCTCCTCTTTCTGTACTGTGCCTCACACCATATGGGGTGTACCAACAAAGATCTGTTAGTAGATAGTGTATAGAGGTATCAATGAACTTATGCCCCGGATTTCTGAAGCACTGGAGGCTGATCAGCAGTGAGCTCTAGGAGTTTAGTATATTTAAAGGATTTATCAGAGACTCCTTCTTGGCACCCTCAAACCCGTAGTGTTGGCCAGCCCCTTTGCTGAGGGTAGGGCATTCCCTTTGAAGTATCCTGTCTGCTCCACACTAGGAAAGAGGCCAGGCTACACCCTAACAGGAAGGCTCCTTGTCAAGCTGAAAAGGTACCATTAATGAAGCCAAAATAAGGGACTCCCAACAACTGTCCCAGGAAGTCCTCTTCTTAAATTATGGCATGGACTTTTTCTAGAAAGGAATACATTGGATCTTCCCAGCAATATTGCCCCTGAAGACTCAGGAAAGGTATGGTATTGGTTTGGATCCCAGAGCTCCACCTGAAGCTGAACACAGGACTATAAAAAGTTTGGGGACAGGGCCTGGTGTAATAGCCTAGTGGCTAACAGTCCTTGCCTTGAATACACCAGGCTCTCTAATCCCGGCAGCTCCACTTCCTATCCAGCTTGCTGCTTGTGGCCTGGGAAAGCAGTCAAGGATGGTCCAAAGCCTTGGGACCCTGCACCCCACATGGGAGACCAGGAAGAGGCTCCTGGTTTCAGATCAGTGCACCTCTGGCAGTTGCCATCACTTGGGGAGTGAGTCAACGAACTGAAGAGCTTCCTCTCTGACTCTCCTCCTCTCTGTATATCTGACTTTGCAAGAAAAATTAGTAAATCTTAAAAAAAGGAAGTTTGAACAGCAAGGCACTATGGATCTGTTTCAGTTGAACCATTAACAGTAGCAGGTAGTGAAACTGCAGCCGGAAGAAGGGCAGGACTTTGCCCGAAATCATTCCTGCTGCAAGAGGCACTCACTGCAGAATCGACACATTAGCTTTCTACATTGGTTCAGTGATATTTTACTCTCTCCGGCTGTCTCCCTAAGCACAAATCATAGAACTGCTTACATCAAGGCAACTTTTGTGCCTAAAGGTGGAGAAATAAAAAGAATTCTCGGGTTGATGTTTGACTCAGTGGTTATAGCATTTACATGCTGTTTCACACTGCCTGGCTTTGAGTCTTGGCTCTGCTCTCATTTTGTTTCCTGAAAATGTTCATTCTAAGAAGGCAGTAGGTTACAGGTCCATGCAATCCCCCTTGGAGACCTGGAGTGGGTTACTGGCTCCTGGCATTGGCCAGGTATAACTTGGGCTATTGTTGGCATCTAGCGAGTGAACCAGCAGAGGGGAGCTTCGTGTCTCCTTGCCTCTGAAATAACTAAGCAAATAATAAATCATGTCTTAAAAGTTGACCCGACTGAGAAGACATCCATATAAAAATGAAAATAGACAGTATTTGGGTCCATTTCCTCCTTCCTTCCCTGCTGCCAATCACCCACTTAGTCAATGTTTTCCACTAGCCTATGGCAGCACACATGTCAACCGTAGGTGGAAGGAAGAAGAAAGAATTCGAGAGAAAGTTTCAGGGCTACTATTCCTTCGCAGAGATAAGGATGCATGTCCCCTGAGACTGGAAAGGGGACTCCTGGCTCATCCCTTCCCAAGGGCAGGGGCTGTAGGGAGTGGAGACCATAGGGCCTTCTTCATTCGAGCTACAATTTTGAGCCTTGATTACACATGCATTCTGAAAACGTTGCATGTTTAAGCACAAGATTTAACACATGCATGTGATTTACATCTCCCAATTTGGGTTTATATTTTCACCACAGAGTTATTGCTTCCCTTGCAAAGGTACCCACTGAGAAGAAGGCTACACAATGTAAATTTTAATTACTCTGTTTTCTGAGGGTTTGTAGCTGTTGTTTCCCACTGAGTTGTTAAGCTGTTACTCCATATTTACTCTTACTTTGGTGAACCCTTCTCATTTTCCCATCATTACATTCTGAAATCTGTCGTTAACAGTCTCACCTCGTGCAACCTCCGACTCCCTTCAATTAGAAAGCAGCATCCACCCACTGCCTGCTCCTCTGCATCAGTCATGGGCTCCCCACAATCCTACCACTCAATACACACCACACACCTGGCCAGGGAGAGGTAAGGTAGAGAGCTGTGGGTAGGTAGAACTCAAGAAACAGACAAAAACCCCTGCCCCTGACAGCAGCAGCAATGTCTCATGACCATGCCCAGCACAGGGAACTGGGCGAAGTGGGACTTGGGGAAAACAGCTTGATCCAATCCATGGGAAATCCAAGGTCTTGCAAAGCACTTTCTAAGGCACATGTCACATGGTGCTTTGATTTCAAAATAAAGACTTGGTGTGAGCTTAGCCTAAGTCGTTAGTGTCTCAGGTTGCAATGCCTAGATTTGATCACTTGGCTTTGGGCTCCAGATAGTTCTTAATGCACACCCTGGGAGGCAGTGGTGCTGTTCAAGTACTTGGATCACTGCCACCCATGTGGGAGGTCTGGATTGAGTTCCTGGCTCCTGGCTTTGTCCCAGCTCAGCTGTGGTTGTCAGAACACACCAAGTATGACTGTTCAGTGAAGGCTCTTTGTTTCTCGGCCTCTCAAAGACACACACACACACTCTAAACTCACAATGCTTTGCCTGCAAGCACTCAAACAACCCACAAGCATTTCCAAGTTGTTTATCTCATGAACACTCCTAAGTATTCCACAAGAATCACTTTAAAGTAAATCTCACTAGTCTTGTTTGCAGTTGAAACAGGTAAAAAGAATCAGGGTGTCCTCGATGCCGCCAAAACATTTGGCAAAGGATCCGAGTCCACATTCAGGATACCATGGCTCTATGGGAAGTCCTATCCTTACACCTGTGTTCTCTGCCTCACCTTGTGGGACACGGTCACCTGCAGGCAGAGGGCGAGCAGCCAGTTCTCCAAATTCATCCCACCTCACACCTAACCTGACATGTCGCTTTGCTAGGATTGTTTCCCAGTTCCCCCAGCTGTACCCCCATCTACATTTGCTTAATCCCCTAGCGTGAGCACATCTCTTACTCTGGTCCTCAAATCCTGTGCTTCCTCCCTGTGCCTAGAGTTTCCATCGGTGTTCCAGACATTAATACACAGAGAAGAATGGCAGGCAAAAGGAACCAGAAAAGGATAAACAATGACACATAGTGGCAACATTAACACCAACCAAAGACAGGTTAGCTCTACCCCCACTCTGTCTCATGCACGCACAAATACACACCGCCCCCCCCACACCAAATACACACACACCCACTCCAAAAGCAATAAAGGAAGGAAAAAGATGATAATTGGAAAGCCTAATGCAGAATGAGGCAAAAATTAATCAGGTTGTTAACAGAACAGTGAAATATGATCTGCAGGGGAAGGGGAAGAGAAAATGAATTACTATGCTTAGAAGTCTTTCTTTACTATTTTTTCTAGCAGACAAAAGCACCAAAAACAAAACAAACAAAACCAATCTATGGAACATGATAGAGAATGTGCAAAAAACAAGCAAACAAAACCAATCAAAGTAAATAAAGCTCAGTTGGTAGATGGGACCCACTCGGAATGTTAAAGAACCACACATTTCTCAGACGCACGAGATAGCTGCTGAAAAAGCCAACATTGAGCTGCAGAAAAAGCTTCAAGAGTTTCAAAGAGGTGTTTTTTTTCCTCAAGATTTTTCCTTTAAACATTGATTTATTTATTTGCATGTCAGGTCACCAGGTGACTCCAAGTGCTAATACCATCAGGAATCGAATCGGGGAGCAGTTCACACCTAGAGAATGTGGACATCCCAAGCAGGGCCTTAACCAAGCTAGGCCAAATGTCTATTGACAGTTTGTTCCTGGTCATTATTTTCTTTCCTTTTTAAAAATTTTGAATTTTGAATTTTATGGTACAATTCCATAGGGGTTGATATTCTTTTAAAGCCAGACTTGTAACCCATGAAGTTACCAAAAACGTGAAGCTCTAGATTAAATGCAATGAAGATTAATAAAGCTCTACAGTCATTTCATCTTGATTTTAAAAATCATATTAACAGAAAGCAAAATGAAATTATGAGATGTCAGCAAAGATTATCTTAAGGATGAATTCAGACAATAAAACCTTTTGTT